GAGATTCTCAAGGCCCACATGGACAAGGTCCTGTGCAGCCTGCTGTAGGTGACCCTGCTTCGGCAGGGGGTTGGACTAGATGACCCACAGAGGTCCCTTCCAACCCTGAACATTCTGTAATTCTGTGACACCTTTTCCAGTCACATGGCACGGCCAGGGAGATAACCACAGAGTTGGCTGAAGCACCATTTTCCAATCTTGCGTGTTTTATGAACTCACGTAACTTTATGGATGCAATCAATGCAGTAATCTGAGGAATTAACATGTCAGTCGATCTGTTTGTTCGAACAACATTGAGTATAATTTAAAATGTTTACAGGTGCTCTCTAGTAAATCTAAGTATTGCTTATATGTCAAAAAAGAACAGGACATTATCAGTTTCAATGCTAAGTGACATAGTCATACCCCAGTCATGTGGTATGTAGAGAGAAGCTCAGATATTGTCTACGCTGAAACAGGTATACAGGTATTAATAAGGTTCATCTTCACAGTGAACTATAATGAGTATATGCATAATTGCAGCTAACTATTAATGCTTTAACCCGAACCATACCGAACACCTAATCTCTACATAAAAGCTCAGTTTTGCTTTAATCCTTAGAAAGTAAATATTTTATTAGAGTGGTTCCCACCGTAATAGTCTCGTTTTTTTACTGTCTGGTTAGATCCTTCGCTGAAGTTTTCAACTGGCAAGTCAGAGCTTGTTCCTGTAATCAGACACGGGGGAGATCACAAGAGCTGCGTCGCAAACTGCAGCTGGTTCCTTTCACACCTAATTGCATTTACATTTGCTGTTTCCAGGATTGCAGAGATTTTGTGAAGACATAGAGATGATGATTGGATTCCAGCCAAGTAAATTCTGGAGAGTCTGCTGGGCGTTTGTGACCCCAACTATTTTAACAGTAAGCAAAAATTTTTTTCCATGTCTTCTCCAAAGAGTTTTGTTGTTGTTTCTTTGTCATTCACGTTCCTGAGCAGTAGTCGTTAGATCCTCGATGCAGACACCTAGACACACGTGCACGTGTGTGCTTGTGTGCCTGTAGCAGGCAGAACCAAGCATAAGGAATGGTATTTTTGGTAGCGAAGGAGGGCGAGTCTGCACATGCTGCCACGGTGGCCTTTCCCTCTCTGTGCAAAATGCGGGTATGGCATGCCCTTGCATACCAGCTTTTATGGTTATTGTATACTTATGTGTGTGCAATATATACGTGTGTGTGTAAAATATACGAATGTATCTGTACACATGGAGGGGGAGAGGAAATTATGCCATCCTCTCGTCTGTTCTCAGGCTGAGCAAGGGAATAACCATTTTCCTGAGTCATAAACCAACCGCAGAGACACGCTTTGGAACGGCTGACGCGGAGATTTGAGCGACAGCGTTGTAGCCGCGAAGATGGAGAGATTTGTGCCAAGGCCGAGCTAGTTCCGTTCTCGAGAGCAGAGGCGAATCCCTTCACGTTTTCTAAAAATCAAAAAAGGAAGGAAAGAGCAGAGAGGGAGGGGGCTGTTT